GCCGTGCATCCGTTACCTATCGATACCCTATAATTTCTATTAGTAAATTTAATTACCGATACGTCCGATGCCCGGAACGCGCTTACATTTCACTCGCGACGGCCGCCGTCCGCGTCGTCTCTGTTTCTCCCTCGCGCGATTCATCGGCTCACGCCAATTTGTAACCGTTTTGTTGATAGTTAACGGACGGTTAATAGAAATACGGGTATAAGGTTAGTAAGTTACACCGTCATTAGCGTCGGCGAAATATACACGGGGGAAGGGCGGGTGAGGAAGCTAGCCGGCTTCGAGTGGAAATCGAGTGGAAGCGAGCGCATTAAGCACGTTCGTGCCTCGTAGGGCTCGCATCGATGCGATGGGAATGTCACGTGGCCGTCAACCAGGGTCTCGCGGAAAATGGACGACGTGGGTATACACCGTAGCCGTTCGTAAATTCAATTATGGAGACTCGATCCCATTAGAAGCAGAGCGAGCAGTAAAAACATCGTGAGCCGCGTACATACAGACACACACACACACGCGCGCACACACACACGGAATATCGGGCCGGAGCCGATTCAGGGATGCGTGCCGCAACCAACGGCCATCGATTGCTTCTCTCGGCACCCAGCGCCGACAGCATGCAGATATCCTCCTTTCGAAACGCCGCCGTGCGAATGCATTTTCCTGCCCGATCTCGTTATTGTTCCCAACATGAGTCCCTTCACCGTTTTCAATTAACGATATCATCTATACAGCAAGCGATACTGCTGTACGCTCGCCGACGCGCCACGCCGCTTTGCCATTCCGCGCCACGCTCCGATCATTTATCTTCTCTTTTTCTTTCTTCCCTTCTTTCTTTCTTTCTTTCTTTCTTTCTTTCTTTCGGAGTCCAGAGCAAAGGGGAAAACTTTCGATCGGAGAATTTTTGCGACGTCGTGTGCGTTTGTATCTCTCTCTTCTCGGTTGGGCAGTCGAGTTTCTTCGACCGACAAGTACCATCAATCGCGAGACACGTGGCCGCGACTCGAATCGGTAGCCACCGCGGCAAATACGAGTTTCTTATCGTCGCTGCCATAAGCGTATTTCGTTTGGCTTTTTCTGTCGAACTTCGCCGAAGAACTTGGCTCAAGCGGAGTTTATTTAACTCACAATCGGACCCAGCGGAAGAGACTCAAGCTCTCGTTGCTCTCGTCCTGCGGCTTTGGCGCGCGGGGTAGGGAGGAGGGAAGGACACGCGAGGAGCAGCCGCGGAGAACGAACCGTGGAAAGAACCGCGTCGTAAAACGCGAACGATTAATTATACCCGTTAGATCCGTTCGATCGACACGCTTTCATTTACGAAGGTAGGGGAGACGTTGGTCTCTCTCGCGGACGCTACGTCGGGCATCAACACGGAAAGGACGAAGTCGTGCCACAATTGCACCGGCTCCGGCAGGGAATTCCGGCAAGGGACTGGAATCAACGACGGTATTCCGCTTAAGTTATGGCCTCGGTTATAGCCGCCGTTCGGACTACAAATTCTCCCGGAGGTATACGGTAGGATTTGTACTTACCTAGTACGGAGACTACCTACAACTTAGTGGAATACCAGCGCGCAGAAATCTTGTTGCCAGACGGGACAAATACGCGGCCCCGGCAGAGATATTGCGTCTTAGGGCGCTACACTCTGGAAAATAGCCTAATGATCGTATTGTGACTGGCCGGTCGTCACAAAACATCCACCAGGCTTACCTCGGTTTTGCGGCTTTATTTATCGTGCCACCGGTCGTCTAACTGCCGTGTAACGGCGTAAAACGTTAACGAGGATGCAGATGCGTGTTTATTATACGTATGGGAGCAGGAGAGCTGGAAAACGTTTGTGAAAAGAAGGTTCCATGTTCTCGGTTCCGTTCGATAATTTTTCAATTTGACGTTGATTCGATTACCGGATCAACGATCGATTGAACGAAAGGATATTTCGTCGTTGCAAATTATAGTAGAAAGATAATTTCGTTGCGAAACGGGGACGTTGTCAAGCGGAAAGAAGAAAAGTCTTCGGTATCTTTTTTTTTTTTTTTTACGATTTTAATGTCGTAACCCTGCCAAATACAATAATAATAATAGTAATAGTAGCAATTATAATAAGAATCGTAATAATGATAATGATAATAGGATTATCTAAAATATGTAACCATCATTTCGATAATAAGATTATCGACAGGCGCGATACTGTATCGCGCAGGTAGCGCGTGACACCTCGTGTGTACTCGCGGCTCGACGATTGATATAATTTATTTAACGAACACGTACCGGCATCACGGATCGCCCTCGCGCGATACAATAATTTTTACTTCCACAGTGTTGTAGGAATCGCGAAGTACGATTATATTAAATATCTGCTCGACCGTATCATTTTTTTCACATTACGGCGAATTCACACATTTTTAGGACTTTCACGCGACGGGACCGCGCCGATAACGTTATATAAATATATATAATTTCGTGCGTATTAATAATAATATTTCGCTATTACTTCGATAATCAGTTTACTCTTTCTTTCTTTCTTTCTTTCTTTCTTTCTTTCCTTCTTTCTTCACTTTTTCACGCGACATTACATGTTATTATGATAATTACACGCTGTTCGTCCGTTTCGGTTCACATCGCAATAAATAAATTATCCAAATCAGGGACATCGATATATCGATATAACAGTAATAAGATTACAACCACATTTACAATATATATATATCTATACTTTATCTATATATATATAATATATATTTATATATATAGATTTTTATTTATATATATATATATAATATATATTTTTTTTTTTTCTTTTAATGCACTAACAAACCTCCCCTGCCGACGTGCGCGGTACGAATAGCGACCGTCCTCAAGCGACGCGGTTAATGTATAATTAGAAAGTACAAAGTTATAGTAATGCCTTCGTTTTATACAGAGTGAATCGTAGTGTAATATATTATTATATATCATCGATCCTACGCAACTCTACGCGACACATACAGCTACGTTCACTTACAAAGTAATAGTTGGTGGCGCGCGACTGTTACGAAACCGCCCCCTTTCTTTTTTCTTTTTTTCTCTTTTTCTTTTTTTTTTCAAACATTCGGAACTTCGACGACAGTCGAGCGTTCGCGTGTGTGCCGGCGTCCAATAGAAACACAGTTCATCGACAACCCACGCGGGGACGTTCATTCGTCGCCATGTAGATTCAACGTACTCGTGTTCCCATTCGATGCGATCGTTTACACCTGTTCTAGGAACCTAAAAGCGTTTCCGCGCGAGGTTCGATCGATGTTCGCTCGCTTCACGCCTTGGGCGAGAAGCACGCGCGACGAAACATTGTACAAAACAAATTGTGTCGTGTGTGTGCGTACGCGGACTGCGCCAAAAATTCGCTCCGTGAAAAAGAAGGGCACGCCACGCGCCTCGCAGTGTAGAACACCGTGCGAGATCCGAGAGAGAATTACTGGCCCCCATTGATTACATTATTGCGAGAGAGAAATTATGCTACGTTGATCCGTTGATCTCTCCTGTCGGTGATGATCGTCAACGGATAATTTCATACGCTATGTACAAGTAGAATCGTTACTCCGCTAGTCCTATCTATCCTTACGATCTAGTAGTTCCGTTTTCTTTCTCTTCTTACTTTTCCATCTTTTCTCTCATCTCTTGACGTTCCTTCGCGACGAATTTTCGCCGAAAATAATAAGTCGATAATCACCGGCCTGTGTTTCGGTTCGCGTGTTCTTTTTTTTTCATTTTTCTTTTTTTTTTTTTTTTCCATTGCTGGAGATTCTTTTTTGGACCGCTTATAAAATCTTTTCACAAGAAAGGAAACAAAATCAAAATCCGGCCAATTTAGACAGCCGTTCTAATCTTTCTCTTTCTTTGTCTCCATGTTCCGAAAGTGACTGCGTTTCAAAGTTGCCCGGCCGCGTTTTACCGGGCAATTAACAAACATTGCACGCGCGCAACTACGTATAATGTAACTTAACTACACGTGTGTAAATATATTACTCGCTATTGCTTTTCGTTCTCCGTGTGTTCTCGACATCTTCCAGACGCAAACACGTGCACACCTCTCGCAACGATACCTTCCTTCGCGCCGCTGCGAAATGGATCTTTAAAGAATCGACCTCGTATTGTCCACGTTGATGTATATGTACGCACGTCAAATTCAACGTACGAAAGCACCAAGAAAGATTGAGCACCGCGCATGATCGCAGATTAAGGATGCAATTTATACGTGTGGTTGCTTGATAAGATACGCGTGTTAGTGACTGATGTACGTGTGTATGTGTGCGCGCGTCTATGTATATGTGTCTGTGTGTGTGTGTGTGTGTGTATCGTTTTTACTGGCCCTTGAAGCGAAGAATGGAAAATCATCGCTAGTTTGACGGACTGACCTGTCAGCTACGTCTTCGAAAAGCTCGATACATCGTGATTCTCCCCCCTCTCCCTTTTTTTCTCTCTTGCCAGACACGTTTTCGAAGGCTCGTCCGATCTCTCACGCGCAGCCAATAAGCATCACCCGAACGCGCTCCTTCTATGAGCGTCTCTTAAATTATTAATACATCACGCGCCGGGATTCTCTCCGACAGTCGTGCAAGTGCACGAGAACACGACGAAATGAAGAATCTAACGTAACGGAATTCAGGTACGTCGACACCCATTCGAACGATCGAGCAACGAACGATCCAAACGATCGACGTCCGAGGGCTGAAGTTTTTTTTTTTTTTTTTTTAAAGACGGTGTCGAAAGACGATCCTCTTTCTTTTCAATTTTAAAAATTCAGCTAAAGTTCCAATTTTAAGAATTCAGCTAAAGTTAAGAAAACGCGAATCGACGTGTCTCCTCGATTTTCTCCTGACGATCGAACTTTCGGATAAATATGTTCCGCGTTCCGTTATCAATCATCCACTGGTGGAAATTTTACGTTTCTCTCTCTCTCTCTCTCTCTCTCTCTCTCTCTCTCTCTCTCTCTTCCGGTTCCCACTCTGCATCGCCTTTTCTTAAATCGAAGCGTGGTCGAAAGCTCGTGCACTCGATCGCACAAGGTGATTTCAATTCGAACGCGTACCCTCGATTAGTTAGGTGTCAGTTGGCGTCTGTTAAGGCACTTGAAATGCTAATTCCTCTAGGCGGCGGCGGGGGCCTTTGTAGAGGATCGGTCGCGTTCAACTCGTTTACCCGTTCAACTCGGTTTCCTGTCTCGCCGATGGTTCACCTTCTACGGGAAATTGAATAGCCTCGCATTAACGTGAGATACAAATTGCCGACACGCTTTGTCCGGGATCTGTTTTCGCGAATTTACTCGCCGCGCGCGCGCGCGCGCGCGCTCCTAGGAATGTGTGTGCTCGTGGAATGTTCGTCGAGATCTCGACGGGATCGTCGCGCATTTTCGAGACTGCCTCTTGGCTCATGGGAAACAATTCTTCCACGATAATTTAAGCAACGATTAAGGAACGCTTTGTCCGCTACGTGTTGACAACGATCGGAATGTGATTCGACGATCGAATCTCTCGGATCGAGGGGAGCTGGTTCGATCGATCGAGTCGCGAAAACGGGGAGGGAAAAACATGATTCCAAGACGGAGGATAATATCGCTGGGACGACGCGCGCTGATACGTTGATACGCGAATACACGGTAGGTGAAAGTCAAGCGGAAACGATGTAACGCTTCATCACCCGGCCGACAATTAGCCAAAATAAATCGTCCCGAGGTGTGGTGGTATGCATAACGGCGCGACGGTTGTTGGGATGCGTATCGTTAAGAGAAGCGTTACGACTCGGCACGAGCTCTCACGGCACTGAAAAAAAATGATAATGATCAAAGAGGGTGTCGGCATGACGTCAGTATGCATTTCTCATCGCCCTCGCTCTGCTCAGATTACTGACGGCTGCTGCACCGCCGAAGAAATCCCCTTACAGGAGAGGTACAACGGTATCAGTCATCAAGATCGTATAGTGGCATCCTGGGTGGCACCTCGTTCATTTTCGGATTGTGTTTCGCAGTGACGATCGCACGAAAATTATTCATACGGTCAACCGGGTGGGAGGCGTGGTCGCTGCTTTGGGCCTTATAACGGGCAACGTACCGTGGATGGATTGCGTGTGTGCGTGTGCGTGTGTGTGTGTGTGCTTCTTTCGCTGGAGCCGCGAGACGAACCGAAACGAGGACGCCTCTCGAAACAGGTGAGAAACAGCCGAGACGAGCGTTTTCGATTTTCGACGTAGCTACGTTGTTACGCGATCGATCGTTTGGATGAAAATCGTGGATAGAACGATGCGCAACGAGTGACGGATGTCGAAGTAAAGTGAGGACGAGTCGAAGAGCAAGCGCGAGATGTATATATTCCGAGGATATCCGGGTACGATCGACAAAAATTTTGCACATTTCGTTTCCGTTGAGACGAGAGCATCCGGGGATCTCGTGACAGTTGATTTCCGTGAATCTCGAACGAATGAATCCGACGCTCGATGTATCTTCGCTGGTCCTCTGGACGAGAGGATTCGAATGATCGCGTTATGAAATGTGTACAAGCACGAAGATTCGCGTGACTTAAGGCACTAACAGTATACTTAAGGCCTAACGCAGCGTTTTCTTCCTTAAACGTTAAAAGGCACTATTCCCTATCAAAATACAACACATAACAAGTATTAATTTGTCGATCTTCGCGCTAATCTTACACGTAGAGGTTCCTCCTCTTCTCTCTCTTTCTTCTCTCTCTTTTTTTTTTTTTTTCTTTCTTTAACAATATAAACTGGCTCTAGCATATACTGGCATCTTGTTCCATTCGTACTTTTTTTTTTTTTCTTTTCTTTAATTAAGAGCTTCGAAATAGAATTTTCTTTTTTTTCACCCACAATCTTCAGCCACGCTGCTACGGTGGCGAAGGTAATGGGAAGCAGAAAAGAAAAGAGCGAAACGAAAAGAAGAAGGTTCGAAGGCTCGAGGAAAACTGGGGAACGCTACACAACGGACGTTCTGCACGCACGGAGACGTCGCGTTACTCAAGGTTTCGAAACTATTTACAGGCCCGCGATTCGCGAGCTGTCCGGATTCTCGCGCGATACGCCCGGGAAACTTCTCCTCGATCGTAGTTATTCGCCTCTTCGGGTGAAAAAAAAAAGAAGAAGGAACACGTGTGTGTGTGTGTGTGTGTGTGTGTGTGTGTGTGTGTGTGTGTGCGCGTGTGTGTGTGTTCCGGTATCGCGCGATATTCTCATCGTGGCCACCGCGACCCTCTTCGCAACACCGTGTGTTTCCTATCGCGCTTTTTCCTACGCGTAGCTTCGTTTAGGAACGCATCGCATGACTCTAGCCCCTGGTCTCATACTTTCGACGCCTTCGTGCGATATGTTTCTCTGATACGCGGAATTTCTTCAACAACGATACTTTCAGGCTCGTAATTCGTTTAACGCATTTTGTACACGGTTAGATCGACGACAATTGAACAGCCGACTCGGTGCATCGTCGATTGCACGAACCCTGGATACACGACTTCTTTTCTTCTTTTTTCTTTTTTTTTTTCTTTTTTCCTATGTACATCTAAAAACCACGAGAGAAAACGTAAACGCGCGTTCTGCATTTTTCCTTTTCTTTTTGTTCCTTCAATTTCCTGTTTCGCCTTGAACCATGGTTTGCGTTCTGTTTGCGTTGGCTTCGAAGGTGCGTTCCTTGAGCTGTCTCGCTCCGTGAGCAGATGCCAAAATAAAATGTGCAGAAAGCGGGGAACGCTCGTGTGTCTCTTTTCGCAACGACGCCTGACACGTGGCACGATTCAACGAGAGCTCGGATCGCGTTGACGCGGTCGACGAGCCGGATGCAAAAGCAATATTTAAAAAATAATTCCTCCATCTGCATTCTCCTTTCTCTCATTTTCTCCTCCTCGTACAATTGAGCGTATCAGTGGACATCTTTCTCGTTCGCGCAATACGTTCGCACCTTCTACTTTGGCACCTTATTTTTTTTTTTTTTTTTTTTGTGTATATACGCGTGGCCGAAAGGGCGTACCGGTTCTCTCAGACACCGCCTACGATCGAAAGAATCGTTTGCACGATCGAACGAAAGAAAGACTCGTAAAAGCATCGCAACGCCTATCGTCGATAGTATACACAATTGTATATTGCTTAATGCACGCGTAATACTGGCTTTCAGAGCGTCAAATTCCCTTGTTTTCTTTGACAGTGAAAACGTCGATGATTGTCCGTCCCTAAACGCGAAATTCTTTGTGCATAAATCTGATAAAATCCCTATTTTATGCATTAAAAAACGTTTAACGATCACGATTTGTAGTTTATTTAACTGAGCATGCTAAGTCCCAAGCTCCGTCACCGGAGTTTCGATATTTTCTTTATTTATTAACCGTTTAATTACCTTAACGATAGTACTTCTTTCACCCCCCCTCCCTTTTTTTTTTTACTGGCTCTATTCTTCGCAATAGACGATACATATGGTGCTCTAGACTAGTTGAGCTGGCCTTATTTAACCGTACAAAAAAAAAAGAAGAAAAAAAAAAGAAAAAGAAATGGAAATAAACTGGAATTACGAACGAGTAAAAATTGGCTACAATTGAAAAAAAAAAAAAACGGAAGCGACCGCGTGCCACTTGCAGAGAACCTGCAACAATCGCTTTTTCTCTATCCACGCTCGTTCCTTTCTCCTTTCCCTTTTTTTCTTTTTTTTTTTTTTTTTTAAATCGTCGAAGCTGAACTTCGTTCGATATTCGTCTTTTAAATATCACCTCCAATAAATAAATTTCCATCAAATATTTTAAATATCAACGATTCTTATGTCCTAAGCGCGTTCGCTTGAAAAAAAAAAGTAACGCAGATTGAAAACAGAAAAATTCGTCCCTTACAGGGAGGCAATGCAACAAGAAACAAAGAAAAGAGATGTCAACCTCGGCAGAGGCAGCTCCGATGATCTTCATCTTCATTGATAACACTTTTCTAAATAATCCCGCGAGATTTTCTATCGGCTCTTAATTATTAAACATGGACAATTTTTACAATATCCTAAGAATGTATCGACGAATTTACATTTTGTCGTAGAAGTGAATTGTGTCGAATTGTGTTTTAAGCGAATTACTCATCCGATAATAAACCAAATGTTACAACGTACATGAACTTTATAATCGATCCACTTTCGTGTCTTATTTTTAACAACTTTTTAAAAAGTTACGAGCAACGACTGAAACTTCTTGCAGAGGTCGTCGAGAGGTTCTCAGCGTATGCGAGAGTTCAAATTCGTCGGAGCTGCCTCCCCGAAAAATCAACGTCTGCCACAGTAAGTCTCAAAGACTCGCGTTTGTCACGATTGCTGGCAGGCTGGTCGCACGATTAATCACCGATAATTGCAATGATACTTCCGTTAAACCTCTATAAACCTAATGAACAATTCGTTTGCTTCTTAATTTTTTTTTTTTTTCTTTTTCTCCTAGTTTCAGCCTCCGACTCTTCACGTTCACGTTGGAGACGATTCGAGTAACGATGCGAGGCTCTTCAGGTCCCGAATGTAACGAAAAAACAGAAAGAATCATCATCGTCGTCGTCGTCCACGATTACGATTCCTGGCCCCCGGGATTCACCGGGACGGGTCTCTCTGCCGTCTCTTCTCGCTCTGACTCCAATAGGCTAGAACTGTCCTCTTTATCAGTGCCTTTTCATGTGCAGCGATAAATGATCGCTCCGTGAAAACGATCGCTGACAAAGATGGCACTTGAACGGCTTCTGGCCCGTGTGCTTGCGATAGTGCCGCGTCAATTCGTCGGAACGCGCGAATTTCCACGTGCAACCCTCCCACGTGCACTGGTACGGTTTCTCGCCTGAAACAAATCAATGAATCTTTGTACATTTTCCGTGTATGCAATCGTAGAAATTGATTGGTTAAATCGGATTTGGAGAGCTGAGACACGCGTTGTTAGTGCAAAAGTTTCGCAGCCACTTGGAAATTTGAAATCAGACTAATGGACGGAGGCTACTTTTATTATATTTCCCTTGTAAGACCAAAAATAATGAAACCCAAGGTCTTCAAAATGAGGTGTATTATCCAGACTTACGTATTTAAAAAGAGTTGGTATTTATTTAATTTAAATTAAATTTGTTATTTTTGTGTGTGTGTGTGTGTGTAATGCGTTAAATTTTGTAACTTTTGTACGTGGAATTTTACTTGCGTCAATTCATCGAATCCGAAAAGTCACAAGTGAAGAAGAGAGTGAACGAGTCGGAATCCATCGTTCCACATTGTTGTGTAATTCGCGTCGAGGCTGCAAACGAGAAGCGTAAACGCGGTGAAAAACACACGCGTAAAACCTCGTGCTGGATTCGCCTTAGATTTACGGCCCGATGCGTATCCACACGTTACGCGTCCCGATCCCTTTCATAATCTCCTTGGCGCTTAGGCCACTTTACTCTCTTACGCGGACGAAAGTCCACGTCCTTGGGCAATTTACAGGGATGTAGCGATGTTCCGCATGTTATTCAAATTTACGATCGGAGGATGTAATTGAAAAGTGGCACCGATCATTTGCCAGCTTTTTTTACGCGGCTGACTGGCTTTCTAACGATCGTTCAGACCGAGTTTCGTTCGGAGACGATTTTAATTATTACGATACGATAAATTTACTTGGCGTTAAAAAACGAAATGGACAAAATGGACGAGACGGACGTTCCAAAGAAGCCAAACGTGTACCGCAACATACAAATTTACAACGAAATTCCAGTTTCGTCAGTTATTTTGACAATGCACCGGGAAGTAGAAGAATCGTGAAGCGTAAAGTAAGTACGTCTGAAAGCACACGATTGTTTCTAGGAGCCAACGTCGCGGACGTGAAATACTCAACCGAAGTTTGGCGCGATAAGCATCGATGCGCGTCGCGTACGTCGCAATATCGTCCCGGTGTTCGCAAGTATACGTCGATACAGGTACATTTCCGAGCGTTTACCCGCGGTGACTCGCGTTACGGGCTCTGCTCGTGGGTTTATTCTTGACTTTTATCTTTCTCTCTCTCCCCCTCTCTCTCTCTCTCTCTCTCTCTCTCTCTCTCTCTCTCTCTTCTCTTCGGTAAGGACGTCGTGACAGCTGTCGCGCGTTGCAACGACTCCGGATCTCTCAGAAAACTGCCCATCACTCTCTTCTATTGTATGCAAGTCACCGAGCGTATTTCTCGGTCCGGTGTTCTGCACGATTTGCCGAGGAAAGGACGAGAGAGAGAGAGAGAGAGAGGGGGGAGAGGGAGAAGGAGAGGTAGACAGAGCGCGTTCGTCGAAGGCAGGAACGGCAAAAGGAGGAGAGAAAGGACGAAGCGAGCGGAAAACGAGAGTAAGAGGGCCCACGGGAGTTAAAAACGTAGCGTCGTCGCGTCGCCTGGATGCGGAGGCAGCCCGGTCACAACTCGATGACGCAATATCGCCATCAAGTTCAGCCGCTCTGCGGAGAACCGTAGACGAAGACGACGCCACCGGTAGACCGGAGAAAATCGAAGCAGAGCATTCAGTCCCGATCGGAGCAGTCAGTTCAGCGATCCTATTAAAGTCCGCGCGACTGCGCGTGGATAATGGTCGACGACGGGACGACGACGTTGCGTCGCGAGCCACCATCTCGTGGAAACCACCGTGGCACCGTCGTTTGATCGATATATTCGCGCGCATCACCGTCAGATCTCCTTCGATCTCTCTCGACTGGCCGCCGGACCTTCCACCGGCCACCATCGCCGCGCGATTTTCTCGTCCCAGATAGCCGATCGAGCCTATTTTTCGTCGTTAAGCGAGGATCGCTGTTGATCGATACTGGAACGAGCCAGGGACGCGATTATCGCTTGCGTAAATCTGAAATCGGACATCGGCGGCTGGCTCGAGAAGCTCGACAGCTCGATCGGCGATCGTTCCGCGAGGTTCGCTCGTTACTCGAGGTTAATTACAACATCAAATCACGTCACGATGTCTCCGATAGTCGGCATTCTCTGTATTCTCCGAGTATTATCGCAGATTACACGGGGAACACGTGGCGCGATCATCCTCCGACAGTTTATATTATACATATTATAACGCTGGCTGCAGCTGGTAATTTATTAGATGGGTATTTAAACGATCGGCGGAACGATACGAAAGAGATCGCTGGCAACGCGGATGTACCGCGGACGTGGATACATGGACGTTTCGGACAGGCTGTGCTTTCCGCGAGAGTTATTGCCGCCGCGTAAGATCGGAAAGCGGCCGATCGTTCAGAAACGATCCGCCTCGTCGGGGATGTAAACGATGGAAACGATATCTAAATATCGGCCGTTCGCGAACGTTTCAACGCCCATCGCATCGCACCGGCTCGAATATTATTATGTAATTCGCTGGGAATACGAGGAACTAATGACCGGGGGGGGGGGGGGGGGGAAAAAAGCTCGTGTTCTCGGCTGTGTTGCGTAATTGCGAGTAATTAGTCCATTTACGAGCGGCAACGTGCACACGTACGCCGGCGGGACGTGCATGTGCACGCAACGACGGGCCGGTGTTGGCAAGCAACGCGGCGCGAAACACGCGGCCGCCGAGAAGGCATTAATTCTCCCGTTATTAATGCATTTTGATTGGATTTTTACGCCGGGCCAGCGTTACGTTTATTGCACCATAGATTAACGCCGCGTTACACCGTCCTGGGCCATTAATTAACCGCAACGGCGAACTTAGCCACTCATTTGTAACGTCACTCTGATGTCGCGGCGCGTATAAATCCCGCGTTGTATTAAGCGAACGCGATGCGCGTCGAACGATTTTTGTTTCATTTTTCTTTTTCTTTTTTCGCGTCTTTTCATTTCGTTCGCCCTCTCTCGAGATGATGTAAAATATAAATTTAGTATACATAAATGTATATAATTTTAAATTGATATAATTAAATAAAGTTTTATAATAAAAATGTACTTTAGTAATGATTAAAAATTAACAATATTATTAATAGTTTGAAAGTAATGAGAATGAATTTTTTAAAAGATAAATGAGTAAAATTTATTTTGTACCTTTTGTATCACGGTCAATTAATTTATTTTAATAATTTTAATTATCTGAAAAAAAAGTAAATGATATATGATAAAATAAAAAAAATAAATATATATTTAGAGATTAAACGTTTGTCGTATTCATTGATATCTAATAATATTTATTAATATCTAGTCTAGATCATCTCTCTCTCTCTCCCTCTCTCTCTTTCACTTTTCTTTCTCCTTGCCGCGCGTGCGCACACACGAGCCGAAAGAAATCGAACCGAGTCTTTTCTCCAATTTAATAGTCGTTTTAACGTCAGTTGGAACGGTATCGTGCCCGTTTACGTAAAAATATCGCGAGAATTAACGTCTGTGAATCGAAATTGCATCGCGAAACTCTCGGTCTAATTCGAATAGCGGGAGAGAGAGAGAGAAAGAAGGTCGTAATCTCGTGAGAAATCGTCGATTAAATTAACGTAATTTATTAAAGTGAAAATTATCGATTACGGGGAGAAATATAGGATTGTTCCGACACGGGTTATTGGACAACCTCGCGGGCAAGTGGGTTAACGATAAACGCTAATTAAAAACGAGACGGCGTAATTAAACGTCGCTTTGATGCGATTTCGCGGGAACTCTCGAGCGGTATCCTTTTTTCCAGCGTACAGCTCGATATTTCAACGCGAAAAGGGAGAAACCGTGCCGGCGCTCCCGTTTTAACCAGGAGTTATTCTTAATGAGTTTATACCAGCGACGCATCCTTTCAACGGCCTTTTAAATCCGCCAGTCCAAAAGTCACTTTGTTATTTACGATTCTTTCGTTTTACCAACGAAAGAAACGTAAAACATCTTGATTCATCATTCAGATAAACTCGTCCATCACCGAAACGCGTCTTCACCGTTCGCGGATGTAACAGGATTTTTTACGACGACAGGAAGCTTTTAACCTACCATACCGGTCAAATCGACCGTTTTCAAACAATTTTCTACGTAACTAACGTTACTGCTAGTTATCGCTATTTATCTTTACAACTTTTCCTAAAATATGCGTACAATGAATTTTTCAGTATTTACCTCTTCTCTTATCTTCTTTCTCCCCGAGAAATATACGTAGCCTGTCTTACCTGCTCTATCGGTCGAAAAATTTATGATACTTACTCTTCTAAAATTGTACAATCGATTCACGAAAAATCTGAACAGAAGTGCTATCAGGTTACGCACGAATGAACGATGGATAACAATGTTTCATTGCAAGAGTATACGCAGGCCGCGGATTTGGATGACGCAGTGCAATTTTATAACTTCAGGAGAGAGTATAAAAGTTCTAAAGTGTTTTCTTCGAATTTCAAGTTACAGGTGAACGTTTGAAGAAGGAATAAGTAAATCTGTCAAACACTTTGGCTAAATATAAAATTTTGTATCTGTTTCTTTTATTTGACGGATATTTCTCTTAAAAAAAATCAAGGCATTCAAAAAATATGAGATTGTTGGAAGAAATAATTAACATAGACAGGTGTGTTCGGATGTCGATGAACAAAAACTTTCTGAAACTGAAAATAAGATGGAAAAAGATGACCTATTTGACACATTTTCTGAGGACTCTTTCGGATAATAAAGAGTAGAGTGTCTTGAATAAATGTAGACGACAAAAAAGGAGATTAGTATTGAATTCTGAAAGTGAGAGTGACTGCTGATACCTGATAAGTCGACTGTTCTCTACGTTCAAGTGTAAAAAGTATTACTTTTTTTTAAAGACCGGTTACGATAGGAACATAAAGTGTTGGTAGGTTTAACGTTAATTCTCCATTCAACGTCATTAAGCGGCGACTGATCAATTTTCTTCCATTCTATCAAAATGT